ACATGACGGTAGCTATCTGTCACAAGAGTATGTACTTGGCCAATGATGTTGATTCCCTGGATTACACAACGAGTTGAGTTTCGATCTTAAGCCTGGTTTCCATCTAGTCGTGATTTTCGCGAACAAATCGTGGTTACCAATGCAATAGAGTTTCATATATCAGGATTTTGGGCATTTCACTCGATAGAACTAACTATTAAAGGGTTTTGTAGATGGAAATTTCCAGTGCATATTTTATACAGTTTTATTTTTTGACTTAACCAGAATCAGCTGCGGAAAATGCAACTATTGGCTGTTTGGCAGGAATTGAACCTGTGGCCCTGCGATTCCGGTGCAGCTCTCGTATATCCATACCAGAAAACACTAAATAAATTTGAATGCAGCAACAGCATGCAGCACATAAAACAAAAGATAGCTCCAGACTATTTCACTTTGTCGAACATGACTTGGTCAAGAGAATACACCCTTCCGGAACGTACGTCACCTTGGCTATAGGCCAATAGAGCCTAGTTTTCGTGGGCGTGGCGTTAGTTAAAGAATTCGCAATCAAGAGAACTAGGCTCTATAGCTAAGGTGTTGTATATCAGGAAACGTGTATTACTAATGAAAAAGCCTGGGAACGAGGTTGATGAAAACCAGGCTTTAAATTACCCCTGATAATGACACTAGCGCAGAGTATCCAAATATTGAGCAGTGAATACAGTTAGCTAACGTTGACATGTCTAATATTAAACTTGTTGCGGTGAACAAATAAATTTCAAACCATGTTCCAATATTTGTTACAATGTTGCGGTGAGCAAATACATTTCAAATCATGTTCCCATACTTGTTACAATATTTGTAGGGTGACAAAAACAAGGATGAGATGTACAACATCGCAGTTTCAGAACATAACAAGAAAACGAAGATCAATATCAAATGATGAAAAGCTGGTGGTCACATTTGATGGTCTCCCGCCTGTGTATGGCGCAAACGTCACATCGTTCAAATATGTTCCTGATCCTGTTATAACTGATATTACACCACGTATCACATTCCCAAGGTAGGAAACAAGTTGCGGACTTATGTCAATGATGCATGTCTTGCATCTACCTGATCTGATGCAACTTTTCAGATAGTTGCATTATACACACATTTCCACAAATTATTATAATATAGCATTTGTAAATTCTGAACGCTGATTGGCTAAGAGCCGTGTTGATATAACTCAATGTCAACACGGAAACGTCGGAAAATTTCTTTCTTTATGTTTCTTCAGAGTTTCTTTGTGCTATGTTGTAAAACAAATATAAAACATTTTTTCCGTATTGATATATAGTTATATCAACACTCGTGGAAATTGGGAAAACTCGAAATTGTGTGAAAACACTCCGCCCTACGGGCGTCGTATTTCCACACAATTTCTAGTTTTCCCAATTTCCACTCGTGTTGATATAACTGTATATCAACACGGAAAATGCTTTATATTTGTTAATTATCAGTCAGCCTCGAACTATAGTGTATATATATGCTCGCTTGGATTATCCACCAAATCCAACATTATATTCAAGTTCAACCAAGTACATCTTGCAATAATATCTTTTAAATAGAGATTTAAATATATTTATAAAAATATTTCAAGTATTTTTTCGATAGTTTTAAGGTATAGCATTGTTTACAGTAGTTTGATTTAGTTGCCAACCTTAGGAATAACTGTAACTTATTAGTATGCAGTGAGTGACGTCACCCGCAGCAGGCCTTAGTGGGGTGCCTATGCCTGGGCAAACTAATAGACATTCTCGCAAAAATATTATGACGACGTTTCCATGAATGTTTTCATCTTGGGAAACGTTGTGGTGACAGAAAAACAGAAAATATTTCCTTATTCATATTTCTTTTCCTTGCTGTGAATTTCATTGCGAAAACAATGTTTCTTATTTTGCCTAGCAAAACGTTACATTATATAAGCTCATGCACACGAAAACGACAGTTGTATGTTTTCACTAGTGATGGGCGATTACCGATTACTTGGTATCGATACCACCCGATACCAGGCCCAAATTGGAAGTAGTCGATACTGCACGGTATCGAAAAAGTGTTTCGATTACTTTTAAAATTAGACATTCATTATAATTCTGTAGTTGTGTCATCGTTTTCATGGCTATTTCTAATAAAATATATGTACTTTTTTGTATTTTGCTGCATTTATCAACTTAACCAAACTTCCTTTACTTTATTTGACATTCTATCCACTTCCCTGATTAATATTCCTAACCTCGTCGACAGACTAAATTATGAAAAAGGCGGGAAATAAATTAAATTTTGTTTTTTCATGGATTATAATGGTGGAAAATTCTGAAATACAATCGTCGTCGTAGTAGTCGTTTGGGTAATCGATACCTCGATACTTTTACGAAAAAGTAATCGGTATCGTATCGAATCCGATACTGGTGGTATCGCCCATCACTAGTTTTCACCACAGCCAATGAAAGTATCCACAGGAGCTATTTACGATAATATATTTAATTGCGGTGGTAGAAAACCTGTCGTTGGTAGATAGTTTCGTCAGTAACACCATGGATAATAAAATACATGGATAGGAAACTAGCTGACGTGACCTAATGTTTTCAATGGGATGATGGCGTTGAAACCTAGTTGCAAACCAAATTCTCAAAAACAGTGTGTTTAGCGATAATACAGCTAAACATTTTAGTCAAAGAGCAAATAAATATAACTAGGCCATTCTACGATGAAATCTCTAAGTATTCCCGGTCAATTTTAGCAAATATTTCAAGCACTAAACAGTGAAAAGTGCATCGCCAATTTCGTTAAAATTGGCGACGTCAATTTCGTAGCTACAAATGTAAAAAAAAAATACAAAACAAAGACGAAAAACATTTACCTTGAATACTTTGTCGTGGCTTAGGCATGTTTTTAAAACAATTAGACCAGTTTATGCTTCAATATTACTCTTTTAAAGCGGAAAATATAGCGAAACAACAAAAATGCTGAGAACTTTGGCAATACGCGTGACGTCACAGACTGCAACTAGGTTTAGACTGTGACGTCAGGAAGTTTCCTATCCAGTTATTTTACAATCCATGGTTCAATTAACCCTGAACAGATAATATTCGTAATCAAAACGTTTTACAAAACAAATAGCTTGCAGCAGGCTCGCGTCGCTTCTGGATTGACTAACTTTGCATAATTAATGTACTTTCAATTCCCAACGGCGGAAGAATGTGATTTCGACCGGCAATTTTTATTTGACGAGTATGTGGCCATTTCTCATCGTTACGATTTAAAAAAGTTATCATTAGAAAAGCTAAATAACAGCTCTTTCGTCCTACGTAAGAATTGAATTGTTTAGCTAAGTGTATGATGCACGACAGCCTGTTGAATTTTCATAGCGTTAAGCTTCTTTGGGCACTTATATAATGTAGAATAATGAAAACATTTCTCGAACTTCCAAGAAACTAAAAATGGCTTGCGCTCGAGATTTAAAAGCTTTAATCGTATTTTGAGTTAATGGAAGAAAATATTAACATTTGCCTAATTTGCATAATATGCATATATCAGCAATATGCAAATTAGGTAAAGGCATTAATTAAATTAAGCATACGAAAGGCTGATTTTTTAGGAAAAAATGAATAGTTAAACTTGTACAGTAATTAAAAACCCACCAAATGTTCCATTCATTAACTCAAAATACGATTAAAGCTTTTAAATTTCGTGCGCAAGCCATTTTTAGTTTGTTGGAAAAGAAACACCCCTGGTTTACACAATTTGAGTTTGAGTATTTTTTTTTCTCGTTATTCTACATTATGGGTACTCAAGGAATCTATATATATAACAACAACTTGATACCACGAGCTGTTTTGCGAAATTGAGAGCAATTTCAAATCTGTTCAGTTCATTTTTTATACACCCTGTAGATGAAAACATTACTCAATTCTGATTGGCTAGGCTTTTTTGACGACTTTTTGCACACTTTCATTGGAAATTCGTACGTGAATATAACATTTTAAGCACAAGGAGCACATAAACTGAAAAGGTTTGCTAACAAGTAACAAGTAATGAAAACAATGCTTAAATGGCGTACGTGAGTACACAGGTGTTATCGAAGCGTGTAAACGTTTCATGTATATATTTACTATTATTAACAAGTAATAGCAATGTTTCTCGAGCAGTTTGGAAAAACGCACACTCGTGAGTTATTCAAAGATCGACTTTGATCGTCTTTGAAAAACTCACTCGTGCATGTTTTTTCCAAATTGCACTCGATCGGAAACAATACTATTATACCTAATACTTATATTACACTTGTTATATTTATTAAATTTGTTTAGTTTCTTACTATGGTTTTGGTATTCCTGTATCTTTCTCAAGTTTTTCTCAGCTATTTTGCTTTTGCCCAAAACTTGTCAAGACGAAAACAAATTCAATAAAATTGCCCTGTTCCTTCGGTCTTTTCTTTCTTGCTTTCTGATAAATTTTGTAATAAAAAACTCTTTGTTTTTCTTTATATTTCTGGCTAAAAAGCAGAGATGATGCGAAAAAACCACTGAAATACCAAAGCAGTGCCACAGATCACAGTGCATTATTGCGTTATAACGCACGGCCAATCAAATTAGCTCATCAAATTGCAAGTTTTATCCTGACAATGCATATTATGCGGCACTAACGCAGTTAGGATTCATTTCCTCAGTTAAGCAATCTTCTATCAAGACGTTTTAAGGACTTTCGTTGCTTTGGGGCCCCTTTAAGCTCACGGGGACCCGGGGAAAAGTGGCCCCCTCCGCCCCCACTCTTGGCGACTCTGTTCGTCAGTATCGATATCAGGTAATTCACAGTAAATTTAACGTATTGATTTCTTCATTAGATTTAAAATTGATTTTATTGGTACTGGTTGAGCTATGAAACTGCACAGTTGCAAAACTCGAGAACAACTTGCTTTCGTGGCGCAGTGCAAAACGCCTAAATGGAAATGGAATGAATACTATAGTCCAAAATGTATATTTCTAAAATAAACTATATATCATACCTAGTTGAGATCGTAAGGTAGTCACAGTTTGTTCCAGAATATGAATTTTTAAACCAAGTTCTGATTGCATCATCTTGTACTGGCGAGTGAGATCTAACAAGTTGACAATTAATACGATTCAGAAAAGAAATTCGAAGTGTATAAATTAATGCATGCATAAATCGGATTTATATGCGATAACCTGTAGCTTTCTTTAACGTACGGCAAATGACGATTCGAACATGTAACATTCTATAAAGGCTGAATAACAAGCATTTCTCACTTTAAGACGAAGCAAATCACACTGTTTATGCATTCTAGTCCAGCAGTTGCTTATTAATGAAAAGATCGTTACTAGGCTGAAATGTATCGGGTACCCTTTTTAAAATTTTCCCTTCTAATCGACCAACAATGAATTTAAGAAGGCGTGCTCTACAAAAACATGTAATCAGGTATGGGCTGGCACTTAGTCTTAGTCTAGTATATATAGACTAAAAAGTCTCTTTTAAAAATAGAGGAGTGAATGATCATTTTCGTTGTAAATCATAATTTGGTTTAAACTTTTCATAAATCGCAAAATGTTAAGAAATTAGAGTGTCCTTTACTTGATACCTCTCTACTCCACTAGAAAAAATAGTGAAATTTATATATATATATATATATATATATATATATATATATATATATATATATATATATTTACAGAAATATATATATTTACAAATTTGACAGTTATCGAAATTTTTGCAACTAATAAAAGACTAAAAGGTAGTAAAATGCATAAGAAGGAAGCGTATATACTGTTGCCGGCGCCTTGCTTTCGCGCATGAGCAGACAAATTGCACCTATGGAGAGCCAGTGAATAGAACTAAATCCTCGTCGAAAATCTTTAAATATAATATATTGACGAAAATCTTGCTGATTTCAGGGTCTAATTAATTACACTGAGAAAGAACACGTCCATCTTTATAGCCACTGAAACAGAATACTTCCGGATGAGACCTTTATACTGTACACACCTGTAGAAATATCGCGTTTGTCTTCTTTTTCTTGTATTACTTCCTCTTGTGCTTCACACATGCGCTCTTCCATCCTTGCTGACATGTCACGTGATCGACGCGCATGCTCAGTTCGTGTTGCTAAAAGTGTGAAAACGAGCAAACTATTAGAAAGAACTAGTGCTAATATAATACTATTCTAAAATACCATATAAAAGTCTACCTTCGTCATTTGGTTCTTACTGATGTGGCGAATTCGACGGCAGAATCCCTTTTTGATAAACAATATCTCTAACTTTCTTCACATTGGTGAGAAAAAGTCTCGTAATTTCAGTAATTGAGCTTTTACATGCGTAAAGAACTACCTAAATTATTGCAGACTTACTAGTAATGATCTTAAAAACCGGCGGCCATCTTGAAAACCTGCTTCTAGTCCATCCCCTTTAGCCACGACCTTACTAGTGAAGTATCGATC